GTCTTATTAGTGGTGTGTGTGTGTGTGTGTGTGTGTGTGTGTGTTTATATATATATATATAAAAACAATAAAGCCATTTTTGGATTATCCTATTTAGTGGATTGTTATTGGCACCTCTGCTCTCTTGGCACTAAAGCCCTGCAAATGTGCAGTTATCCGCTTTGCATCCGCAGACCATGTTTGCGGATTACAGATCGGATGCAGATACACCTCTACCCCGATATAACACGACCCAATATAACACGAATTCGGCTACAACGCGGTAAAGCAGCGCTCTAGGGGGGCCGGGCTGCGCGCTCCGGCGGATCAAAGCAAGTTTGCTATAACGCGGTTTCACCTATAACGCGGTAAGATTTTTTGGCTCCCGAGGACAGCGTTATATCGGGGTAGAGGTGTACAAATTTTGTATCCGCATAGGGCTCTACTTGGTACCTCTGTTGTCTTCCTTTCAATGCAAGTTAAATTATATCCATGCTTGACAAGTGTATCCGTCTCTTTGTTTTTCAGTACTCTGGTCTCTTTTTTTTTTTTGTAGGCTGCTACCCGTCAGGACATGACATACTGGCTTCAAGAACTTCAACAGAAGAGATGGGAATATTGTAACAACCTTGATGTAGCAAAGAGGGACAGCAGAACTTCACCTACACCCAGTGACTTTTCCAAAGGTCTTGTTGCCAAAGACAATATAGGTAAGTTGAAAACTTGAGATACACATATGGAGCATGTAGTATTTCTGTTGAGTAAGAGTTTACCACTATAATTTTGTTCATGGTAAATTTTCTTCAATTTTCCTCCTTTTTCTCCTTCTTTAAAGCAGATTACAAACGTTCTTGTAAAGTTTGCAGAATCATGTTCTCTCTAAAATCAATATATTTATATTCATTTCTTGTGCTTATAAATGTGCCTCTTAGACATAAACATAAGTTCATATGGCTGTCCTAACTTATTTCAGTCATGGAACATAATGACTCTTGGAAGAATAGATTTCGTAAATGTAAGCAAAATGGAGTACCATTAAGGTTGGGTCACATAGTGTGAAAGAGCTCAATTTAAAGGGTATTAATTCATCCTTTTGTTGTCAGAATATCTTAAAATGTGGCATGTTTAGTTTCTTGGCATTTAAGGTCCACTTCCTCAGTGGGAAGGGAGAAAAATATTTTCAGATGGAAAGAGTCTAGTTGGTTTATTACTTTGGTCAACTACGGAAAGTATAAAAAATTATCTTCTACATTCTGAACAGTTATTACAAATGTAGCAGACCAAATAAAGCTCATGCTTTTCCTGCTAAGGGCAGTGCATTGGTCTAAACATAATTGCTATGGTCGAGAAGAATAAGCAAAACAAGACTGTTGAAAGCATGTGGTGAGAGAATATTTTGAGTTTAACATAGTTTAAGTTAGGCACCAGTTGTGTTTTATCTTTATTTTTCTTGTAACCATTTCTTAGTTTTATGTCTCATTAGTTGTACTCACTTAAGATCTATCTCTTTGTAGTTAATGAACTTGTTTTATTGTTTTATCTAATCAGTATGTTAAAATTGAAGTGTTTAGGAAACTCCAGTTATGGTGGAATGTTGTGTGCATATTATTTCTATTAAAGAAATAATGGATTTTTATTGTCCAGAAGAGTGGGCTGGACAGTACAGGACATGCATGTCTGGGGAAAATCTAAGACTGGGGGTGTCTTGGGGTCACCCTGCAGTATAAATAAGGCTGGTGAGAGCCAGAATCTAACCCAAGTGTGGCCGGCAGCCTGCAGTTATACACAAACACTCAGGGTGTGACTTGCATGCTGTGTGTGTTTGTGAGCAGCCCAAGTGGGAACTACTTCAGCAAAGCATTGTAAGGCACTCAAAGTTGCAGGGCCAGGGTGGCACACCGACTCATTAGTCTACATTGTACCCTGGAATGTCACAGCATGTGCTTAAGTGCTTTGCCAAATCGTGGATTTAGTCTCTCGTTTGTTCCCAATCTGAAAAAGACTGATAGACATGCATGTCTTGTCCTTCCAAAGCATATAATTTACTAAAAGAGAACCTGATTTCAGGTCTAATCAAATGCCTAATATACGGTGCCCTAATGAGAGTGAGTGGGTATAAACTAATTTACAAAGTATGGTGTCTTGCTGAATAATGCAGTTTCAAAATAGGCCACTTTCATTTTGTGATAATATTCACTTTCTACTGTGTTACTATGCAACATGACTTACATGCAGGTAATATACTGTATATTCTAGGGCTACCATATGTCCGGATTTCCCCGGACATGTCTGGCTTTTCGATCTATAAATAGCCGTCCGGGGGGGATTTCTAAAAATCTAAAAATGTCCGGGATTTCCCCCCGATCGAAAAGCGGCGCCGCTTGGCAGCCAAAGCCCCTTCTCGGCTCCCCTCATCCCCTGCAGCCTTAGCACGCCGCTGGCCCCGTAGCTGTCTTCCCCCTCCTCCCCTCCCCTGAACGCTCCGCCTCCCTGCTCCTCCCCCTCCCCTACTTCCCGCGAATCAGATCTTTGCGGGAAGTCTGAAAAGAAGCAGGGGCAGGCGGGCAGCAGCAGGTAAGCTGGGGCGGGGGGGACACGAGGAGGAGGGCTCCGGGGAGGCGCGGCGCAGCCCAGTCCAGCCCCAGCGGCTCCAGCCCGGGTCAGGCCCTGGGGCACTGGCCCCAGTTCTGGCCGCGCGCACCGGCCCGGCTCCGGTTCCGGCTAAGCGCACTGGCTCCGGCCCAGCTCCGGCCCCAGGGCAGCGGCCCCAGTTCCGGCCGAGCGTGTTGGTCCCGGTCCCGGCCCCAGCGGCTCCAGCCGGCTCGGGCCCCAGGGCGGCTGGCCCGGCCGAGCACCTCTGGCCCCGGCCAGCCCCAGCCCGGCCCGGGCCCCGGGGCACCGGCCCCAGTTCCGGCTGAGCAGCGCCGGCCAAGCACCCCCGGCCCCAGCGGCTCCGGCCCGGCTCGGGCTCCAGGGTGGCGGCCCCAGTTCCGGCCGAGCGCGCTGATCCAGCGGCTCCGGCCTAGCTCAGGCCCCAGGGTGGCCGGCCCAGCCCTGGCCGAGCACCTCTGGCCCGGCCCCAAGCCCCACGACTCTGGCCGGAGCACAGCCCGATTCCTGGGCTCTTGTTAAAGCCGGCCCTGGTC